TGAGGAGGGAACCGGGAGGAGCGGAGCCGGGGCAGAGCAGGCCGGGGCCTAGAGGCGGCGGCGGGGCCGGCCTCGATTTTCCTCCCGGAGGGTGTGGGGGTGGTTGCCGTGGCAACGCGGGGCGCAGGCGGGCGGGCGGCGGCCGCCATGGGCAGCTGGGCCGCGGCGGTGAGGACAAGATGGCGGCTTGGTGGTTGCAGCGGGCGCGGCGGCCTCCCCGGCGTTGTACCGCGGCGACGGGGCAGCTCCCGCCCCGGCGGTGGGGACCGGGCGTCGGCGGCGACCCTGAGAGACCTCCTGCAGAGCTCGGTGGAGGGCGAGGAGTCGGGCGAGGCGGCGGTGGAGGCGGAGGGGGAAGCGAAGCGGGAGCGGCGTTCCCCCCGGGAGGGCACGGTGCTGCTTTTCCCCGGGCAGGGCAGCCAGTTCGTGGGGATGGGCCGCGGGTTGCTGCGGTATCCCGGCGTGCGGGACATGTACCGCCTGGCCGAGAAGGTGTTGGGCTACGACCTCCTTTCCCTCTGCCTAGAGGGGCCGCGGGGCGAGCTGGACCGCACCCGGCATTGCCAGCCCGCCGTGTTCGTCGCCTCCCTGGCCGCCGTGGAGAAGCTCAACCACCAGCGGCCTGAAGTGAGCGGGGCGGCGGGGAGGGAAAGGCCGGGGCCTGGGCGCTGGGCCCTGCCGGGGAGGCTCCCGGGGGGGCTGTGGGGGACACCGGGACGGCTGACGGTGGGCCTGGGGTCCGTCTCCCTGCAGGTGGTGGAGAGCTGCGTGGCGGCGGCCGGGTACAGCGTGGGGGAGTTCGCGGCGCTGGTCTTCGCTGGAGCCTTGGACTTTGCCGAAGGTGCTTTTTAAGAGGATAAATTTCACTTTCTCTTCCCCCTGTTCACTTCACCACGTGTAATACGGTGTTAAAAGCGCGGGCGTTTGGTGGGAGCACGCAGCCACCCTTCCTTGCCCGCAGAGGCAAAGGCGCCTTTGGCCCCCGAGAGAGGCCGGTCGGTCTCTTCTCCCAAGTCACAGGCGACAGGACAAGGGGAAATGGCCTCAAGTTGTGCCAGGGGAGGTTCAGGCTGGATATTAGGAAAAATTTCTTCACTGAAAGGGTTATCAGGCGTTGGAATGGGCTGCCCAGGGAAGTGGTTGAGGCACCATCCCTGGAGATACTCAGAAGACGAGTTGACATGGTGCTCGGGAATATGGTTTAGTGTTGGGGTGTGTTTTGTTTGGTGTTGGTTTTTTTGTTTGTTTATTTATTTTAGGTTTTGTTTTGTTGTTTTTTTTTTAATGGTTGGACTAGATGATCTTAAAGGTCCCTTCCAACCTAGGTGGTTCTGTGATTCCCTTGGGGGTTTCTTCTATTTACGGGGTGTCTCTTGTTTTCCCCCGCAGCGCTGTACGCGGTGAAGGTGCGTGCTGAGGCCATGCAGCAGGCGTCGGAAGCCGTCCCCAGCGGAATGCTGTCGGTGATCGGTCGGCGAGAGACAAATTACAAATTGGCCTGCTCGGAAGCCCGTAAACACTGCGAATCGCTGGGCATTGAGAACCCCGTGTGTGAAATTTCAAACTACTTGTTTCCAGACAGCAGAGTCATTGCAGGACACTTGCAGGTACCGCTTCAGAATAATTACCCCTTTGTTTGAATTTAACACTTTATTATTTTTTTTTTAAAGCTTTCCCTTTGCGCTTCTGTGTGGAAGTTAACCTGTACAGCCATAGTTTATCCAAACAAAAGTATTTGATCTGTGGGGTTTTGTTGCCAGTGCCTGCTTGTGGCATTGCTTGGTAGGGAAAGGAATCACTTTGTGACAATAAGTCTTGTCTACAGGAGAGCTGGGGAGGGACTCTGTGTCAGGAAGCCCAGTGACAGGATAAGAGGTAACGGTTTTAAATTGGAAGAGGGGAGATTTAGATTAGATCTCAGGAAGAAATTCTTTCCTGTGAGGGTGGTGAGACCCTGGCCCAGGTTGCCCAGAGAAGCTGTGGATGCCCCATCCCTGGAGGTGTTCAAGGCCAGGCTGGATGGGGCCTTGAGCAACCTGGTCTGGTGGGAGGTGTCCCTGCCCATGGCAGGGGGGTTGGAACTAGATGATCTCTAAGGTCCCTTCCAACCTAAACCATTCCATGATTTTGTGTGATTCTGTGGTGAGGTGCTTCTTGTGGGGTGGCTGGGTAAACCTCTGTCGTGCGGTACTCTCACTTCTCCTTCTCTTTTGTAGGCTTTGGAGTTTTTGCAGAAGAATGCCCGAAAATACTATTTTACACGTACGAGCATGCTTCCAGTCAGCGGGGCTTTTCACACCAGACTTATGGCACCAGCAGTAGAACCCTTGGCTGAAGTCTTAAAATCCATTGAGATTCAGAAGCCACTGCTCTGCGTCTACTCCAATGTTGATGGCAAAAAGTACATGCACTCAAAGCACGTTGAGAAGCTGCTGGTGAAGCAGGTGGTGTCACCAGTTCTGTGGGAGCAGACCATGCATTCTGTGTATGAAAGAAAGCAAGGAACAGAATTTCCTTACACCTACGAAGTGGGGCCTGGGAAGCAGCTGGGAGCCATTCTCAAAAAATGTAATTTAAAGGCCTGGAAACAATATAACCACGTAGATGCCCTGGAAGATGAGGAAGCAGCGGGGACCTAAAGTAGCCTTTTGAGAAAAATCCACGCAACTTGTTTTTTTCTGCCTGATTTGAAAATAACTTTGTGCTCCTGAAAGAGGAAGTTTTAAACATTTATGGCTTCTTATGATGAAAAGAGCACCGTGCGCGCAATCGCAGTGGACGTTTTCCTTCCCCGTGTGCCTCAGGTGGGGACGGGGAGAGCAAAGTCTGGCTCTTCCATCTGTGTCGGGACTGCAAAACAGCCAATAAATACACCAAATAGCCTTCTGTTTGGCCTCAATCCTGCAAGCAACTTCCCCTCTCTTTTCTTTTTTCCTTTTTTAATTTTTTTTTTTTTTTTTGGGGGGTGGTGGTGGTGGATTCAAGTTAAAGTTCAGTATCTTGGGCTGGCTGCTGCAGAATCTTCTGCGTGGATACAGGGGGACAACTGGGCTGTTGGCTCTGGGTTGTGGAGGGCTTGGCGTTGGGCTCGAGGGTGTGTTTAGAGGAGCCTTCTGGTTTGGTGCAGCTTTAGGTACGTTGATGTTCCTCTTTTCGAACTCGACTGACTTGTGGGACGTTCATCTCTGTAAAATTCTTTTGCTTTGTGTCCGTATTGCCGGGTAGCAGGCAGGTAAGGCTGAAGGCATCATTAGGAACGTGATTTTCTTAAGGTTAAGCTGTAAATAAACCAAAAAGCTTTGCTTTTGGTGTTTTTAATGCTATGGGGTGCATCATTCCTGACCTGTCGTCCACAGGGGGATGGGAGTCGTTTTCCCTCCGGTTGTCTAGCGCCGCTTTGATTGTGCAAAGTTAACCAAAGGCAGAAGAAGTGTTTCACTGAATGAAACTTACCAGAATTCCCCACCTCCCCAGAGGTGCAGGGCTTTTGTCATCCCTGACTGAGCCTCTGATGCTGCACAGGCTGAGTTTGGGTGACTTTTCTTGACGGAGCAGAAAACACTAGCATTGGAAACTTTGCAGAATGATCTTTTGCAGGCGGGGGGTACCTTCAGACAGGGTGAACTCACCCTGCGGTACCAGAGTGCCAGGGAGGAGGATTTGAACACTGGTTTTTTTTGTTTGTCTTGTATTTTTGACCGCATTTTGCCAGCTTGTACGTTTTCCAGAAGCAGGAGATGAACCGGAGAGGACCTTTGGCTGGTTAAAATAGGTCCGGTCTTGTTACGACATCGTGCTGCCTGTGCAAGATACCTGCAGGGTGCACAGAAAACGTGTGCCTGCTTTCTTTCCTCGTCTGTGAGAGGCACTAAGAGTTTTAGGAAATACGAGAGAACGGTATTTTCTAGAGGATCACATACAAACAAGCAGGGAATAGAGTGCCAGGGAGGAGGATTTGAACGCTGTTTTTTTTTGGTTGTCTGTATTTTTGACCACATTTTGCCAGCTTGCACGTTTTCCAGAAGCAGGAGATGAACCGGAGAGGACCTTTGGCTGGTTAAAATAGGTCCGGTCTTGTTACGACATCGTGCTGCCTGTGCAAGATACCTGCAGGGTGCACAGAAAACGTGTGCCTGCTTTCTTTCCTCGTCTGCGAGAGGCACTAAGAGTTTTAGGAAATACGAGAGAACGGTATTTTCTAGAGGATCACATACAAACAAGCAGGGAGAGGTTATATTGTGCCTCTTACAGTGGGATCGGAAGCTTCAACTGAACTCTAACTTTTGTTTTCTTTTTTATTTTTGGTCTTTTAATGGTATATTTAACAAAAAAATGTAATAATATAAATATATAACAATAATTTTTAATGGTATATTTAACAACACCTAACAAAAATCTAGGATGTATTACTTAAATGACCACGCACGTCTTGAATAGCGTATTATGAACTGCCAAATAACTTCCAATTACATTATTAATCATTTCGTAATCTCACATTTCTGAAAGGAAGAGTGAATTAAAAATTCTGGCCTGAATTACGATTGCCTAATGGAGTGTATTATTAAGCAGTCCTTTTGTGAACTGGAATTGGCAGCCGAGCCTACCTTTAAAGTACAAATTCCACTTTTGGCGTATGTAAACATTAATGATTAGTAAAATACGGAGGAATTTGTCAGTTTAATCATTGAACTATTAGAGGCTGCCAGTTAAGGGTTGGGAATACTGTAAAGAAAATTATTTCAATGGAGGCTCCTGTGTTACAGGTAAGGTGTTAGTTATTCAGTAAAGCACACACCAAAGTCCTCACTCGGTGGTAAGAATATCTCCAATAGACCCTCCCGTTCCTGTTATTGAACGCTGAATTACGTGCTGTGTTAGAAGTTTAGGACTACATCTTGTAAGACAAAACACAAAGTGCCCAAGATTATTGGTTTGTAGAGGGGTGTAGTGTGTGGGGCTGTGGATATGGGGTTTAGTTGGTGGGTGGTGGTTTTGGGTTTGTTGTTCTTGTGGTGGTTGTGGTGGGGTTTTTTTGTTTGTTTGTTTTTTGTTTGTGTTTTTTGTGGGGGTTTTTTTGTTGTTTTTGGTGTTTTGGGTTTTTTTGTGGTTGGACTCGATGATCTCGGAGGTCCCTTCCAAGCACTAAGATTCTATGATTCTGTGATTCTGTGAAAGCAGCTTTTATGATAATTGGAACTTAGCGTGGCACATTGGTGGACTCATTTTGGTGTTAGTATAGTGCTTTATAGTTTCTGGAGTTTTTAATTCTTGATTAACTTGAATTCTTTAACTTTATTGTGGAAGTTTTGGAGACCTGTTTTCTATTTGTATTGTTTTTCTCTTTTTATTTTATTTTTTTTTTGCCCTCATTTCACTTTATTGCACTCTTTGCCTGGAGTCAAGGCGCTTTGGGAGAAACACGCTTAAAACCTCCGTTTGCAAATGCAGAATATTAGATAAACTGTGCGCCTTCGCCAGCTGCAGAGGTGTGTCTGTGTCCTAAGAGCATCCTGCTTTTTTGGGCCCCGTCCAAATAGTGGGAAGAAGGAAGCACAGCCCCTGCCTGGGTGTTTGCTTTTGAGCCGGAGCCGGGGGAGCGAGCCCGGCGTTGCTGAGGCTGCCCCTTGGTGAACCTCCTGGCTCCACAAGCAGAAGCCGAGCAGTGCCGTGCTCTTGTGGCAGTTTATAGCAGCTAAAAAAAAAAATAAAAAATGCAATGGGAGGTCTTCCTACTTCTGTATTGAGTGCGTTCAGGGCTGGCTTTCCTGTGGTGCCCGGCAGCGCGACGTCACGTTGGTGCGTGGCTGTAAAGGAGTGGAAGGGTGTCTCGTAAAACTTCCCTGTGGCTGGGCCGAGAGCGGCATCGCAGAGTCTTTAAGGATCCTGGGTCTTAGTACTCTTGTCTGCCTTCCTCTTATGTGCTTACTCATCCTCCCTTCTGCTCCTGTGAACCAAAGGTTTTAAGATGGAGCACCTCTGCTACGAGGACAGGCTGAGGGAGCTGGGGTTGTTCAGCCTGGAGAAGAGGAGGCTCCGGGGAGACCTAATAGCAGCCTTCCAGTACCTGAAGGGAGCCTACAGGAAGGCTGGGGAGAGCCTGTTTAGAAAGGCCTGCAGTGACAGGACGAGGGGCAATGGCTTCAAGCTGGAGGGGAACAGATTTAGACTGGAGATTAGGAGAGGGTTCTTCACTGTGAGGGTGCTGGAGCACTGGAAATTCTATAAGACGTGAAGAGCCAGCGCGGTTCCTTCACCTGGGTACAGGCAGAGACAGGATGCGGGGGGGAAAAAAAACCACCAACAAAACAATCAAGTGCCGTAAACTCTTGTCACATGAGGAAGTGTGCTGCAAAAAAAAAATAATAAAATAAATGTGGGTCTCCTGAGTCATAGTGAGCATTAGCTAAGAGGCTTCTTGCTCATCATCTCCAGAGGTGAGAAGGGAGTGGTGATGACTGCTCAGTGCCGCACTCTGCTCTGGGCTCATTCTTGTGGATTCTGTTCGTTTTGTGTTTTGCTTTTCCCTCACGGGGGTGATGGTGTTTTATATTCTTTGAGCTGAGCTTCCCCTCCCATGCGATTCAAAACGTTACGTTATCGATCGGAAGAGCGTGAGTCATCCCACGCAGCCCTCAGCTGGAGCAGGCACTCTCCCATCCACCACTGCTCCCCTGGGCATAAAGGATTATTTATCAAGAAGTAACTGAAATTATTTCGTAGTGCTGAAGTGATTTGGCTGGGAAGAATCCCATTTTTGGTAGCTGGTACTTTTGTTACACGTGCATAGGTTGTTTATTAGAGTCTTGAGGGCAATTTTTACCCTTCATTGTGTAATAACTTTAATAGAGTTAAACCGAGAAGGTGATTTGCTGATGAAACCTTTTGGTTATATGTTTTGTTGTTGTTTTTTTGGTTATATGAGCAATTCAGCTGGCCAGCTTCTGGCCCGAGTGAGACGAAGGTTGTGCTAACCGTGCTTTTCTAGGACAAACTGCCTGCCTGCTGCTGAAGGGCAGATCAGCTCAAGGGCACTTTGAAAAAAGGTGACACCAGAATACGTGCTGCTGCTTGGACTTTGGAGGTATTGCTGGAACCACCACCCTCTGCGTACCTTCTTTTTGCTCTGCATTTCAAGTCAATCAAAGGTATTTCAAAGTCCTTTAACGTGAAATGGTTGAATGAAATCATCTAGTTGAACCTTTTTTTTTTGAGGTGGGTGGTTAAGATCATAATGGGATCCGGGCACCATTTGTGAAAGAAAGGGAACACATGCTTCAACCCGCTTAAACTTGACCAGGTTTGGCATTTCCACTGAAGAAAAAGCAGTTCAAATTTGATGTCTGATTTAGCAAGGACTCGAACTTGAAACTCCAGCCTCTCACATGAAGGCTTAAATCACTAGGCCATTAAATATTGTGTTTTCCTCTTTCAAAAGCGCGGTAACTGCAGCAGTGGCTTGACTAGGCAGGAAGCAGGTATCCCCTGTGCTGAGGGGAATACCCAAACCACAGAGAGGCACTTTCATTTTCTGTCACGGAGAGAGAGTCCGTAACTGTATGAAGTGAAAAGCAGCTTCAACAGCAAAGGGTGGGGAAGATGCACCCAGGTCTAGAGACTGACTCGGTACGGTTGGGGCCTGCTGTCGAGAGAGAAGAAGCCCAACTGTCTCCTGATGGCCACCTGTGGAGCATGGGAGGGTGACACCTACACCATCTCCACTCTGTAAGCTGCGCTCAAGTTTCTCTTAGTCATCTATTTCCCCCTGAGCTCACGCCTTCCGAAAGGACTCGGCACTGGTGAGGCCTCACCTCGAGTACTGTGTCCAGTTTTGGGCCCCCTACCATAAAAAAGACATTGAGGTGCTGGAGCGGGTCCAGAGAAGGGCGACAAAGATGGTGAGGGGTCTGGAGA